CGTGAGCTCAATGGCCTGTGGCTGGAGCTCACTGCCTTCTTGGGGCTTCAGTTCTGTGTTACCATTGTTTGTTGGAAGATACTGTGCTTTTGACCAAATCCATTCGCTACCGCCGCAACCAGGCGATGCACAAGGAAGAGTGGATCATGTAGGATGAGATACCTAAATGCAATCACACTCGCTTTCAAAACGAACGCTATTCAATTGTGAGATGAGGCCCATGATTTGACTCAAAGGCTACCTTCCCCAGAAAGTCAGGCACTGGCTAGCAGCAACCCTTGTATGTCCGTGACACAGTTTGCAATCTCATGAAATGAATCTGCAAATCCGGAGAAGTAATCTCCATCTGTGCTCAACAGCGACTCGGTCAGGGTAAAAGCTAATTTCGGTACTGTAGTGTGGCCATGGCCGTTGAACGGTGATCGACAAGATGCTCGCGTGGTGTTGAAGCTAGAGAATCGATAAGCGTGACAGGGCTGAAGGCTGGTGTCGCATCGCGGGGCAACTGCGAAGCTTCAAATGTCAACACCAAAATATCTCCAGTCGACACCCACATCCCAAAATCACCTACGCCCTGCAATTTCAATACGTCATCCTCTGGTCGATACACAACCAAGAACTCGCAGCAAGCCACGCCCATCAATACAAACCGCATCGCAATGGCCGAGCCGCCTGTCGTCCCTCCGATCGAACCCCCACCACCGCCCGAAACGTCGCGTCCCCTCCACACGCTCCCCGCGCCTTTCTCTCAGGATGCGCTCGAAATCATAACACAAGGCGCCGAGGCCCTTGTATACAAGACTACTTTCCTCACGCCCCATACGCCCGTCGTTGTCAAATACCGGCCACCAAAGCCATACAGACATCCCACTTTAGACAAGCGCCTTACAAAGCAGAGGTTGCTAGCCGAGGCACGAAGTCTGATAAGAGTCAAGAGGGATGGCGTTAATGTACCTGGGGTGATTGGCGCGGACTGGGATGCGGGCTGGTTGGTGCTGGAGTATGTGGATGGGAGGACTGTGAGGAAAGTGTTGGACGGGTGGGCACATCAAGTAACACAGAGGGAAAAAGATAAGAAAGACGCGCAGGAAGGACAAGAAGAAATACTAGACCTGATGCGAAGAGTAGGACGGGAAGTAGGCAAGCTGCACGAACTGGGAGTATGCCACGGGGATCTCACAACAAGTAACATCATGTTACGAACACCCAAGTCGCCAGACACTCCAGCACAACAACCACAACGACGAATACCACGCGGAAAACAGACAACGAGCACACTCCGCGAGGCCGCCATGAACGGCGAAGAACCTCCAGACCTTCCTCCTGCAGATCCTCCGCAAGAATCCAACACCAACTCGCTAGCTGGTGACATCTTTCTCATCGACTTCGGTCTCACAACTGCTAGCATACAAGACGAGGACAAGGCTGTTGATCTGTACGTACTTGAGAGGGCGTTCTCGGCCACACATCCCGCTGCGGAACCGCTGTTCCAGGAAGTGCTCAAGGCGTATGGGGAGTGTGGGAAGGGAGCTAGGGGTGTTCTAAAGAGGTTAGAGGGTGTCAGATTGAGGGGAAGGAAGAGGAGTATGCTGGGTTGATGAGATTCTTATTATGGCTACTTTGTATTATGAGGCTTCGGAAGCTATGATATGGTGAGGTGTGCTGTCCTTCGGGTACTTTTACACCCTTAAACCTAGTTCTTTAAGATGACGTTTGTGGCTACATTGGTTCAGGGATGGTGTCTTCTATCTTCGCGGTCGAGCTGACGACCTCCAGGCTCCCTCATGCCTTCTCAGAAACCTTTGCTAGTACACCTGACGCACCACCGCCATTGCCTCCTCCATCGCCACCTTGACCGCCCTTAGACGTACCACCCGTATCCTTCCTGCCCACATGGCCTGCGTTCACGGTCCTCTTGTACTTCCGCTCGTCATCTTCATGTACCCTGGTACAAGTTGGGACGGAACATTTGCCAGCCTTGTAGTTGGCACACCTCGCCCGCTGGCACTTGCTACGGTTCTTCAGGCAGCTCTGACATGGCTCCCCGGAGTCACACCGCATGCCATTCCGGAAGCAGAAAATGCACACGATGACACGCTCCTTGGCGACCTTGACTCGCTTGGCGGCGGGTGCAGGTTGGCTGTCACTCTCGGATCTGTACATGTCAGTGGGAGCTCGGTCACGTGTTCAGGTGTACTTACTGCATCTGATCCAAGCTTCGCTTGGGACATTTAGGGAGGTCAGGCTCGTGGCATACCTGCGTAGACATGGCGGTCTCTTGAGTAACACTGACGGTAATGTATTAGCCTCGGCCACCCAAAGACTTATGGAAGGACCTACCTGCGATCGTACAACTCGCTCTTCATTTTGTACATCTTCGCTGCAAGAGTCAGAGACTGACACTCGCGCTCCGACTCGTCCAGACATTCGCGCTGCTGCCGAATGGTCTCCTCCAACTCTTCCAGCCGCTTCTCCATCTGCGTCAGGTATTCATCCTTGCCGACGCTTTCTGCCTTATCTTTGACCAGATCGAACATCAGCTCCACGAGTGACGTCTGAGTCGCCTTGAGCTCATTGATCCGCGAGCTACGGTCGATGGGTGAGTCGCTATCGCCAGTCGCGTCGGCGCGAGCGGTGACGTCGTCTGTCTGGGTGGAAATGTTGTTGACGGGCATCTTGTATGATATTGATTGGACGCGTAGATAGTGAAGTGACAAAGAAAGGAAGTGTCTTGTTCGACGGAGGTGTTTGAGCGGTACCTAGGTAGTATCTGATTCAATGGTTGCCTAGAGATCTCTTGCTTTCGTCACTAGCGGCTTCTCACCTTCACTTTCTCCACTTATCGGTCACACAAACAGCGCGTCTACGCCGCCAGACTGACGACCAGGCGATGGAAAACAGCTCACGTGCTCGCTAACTAGCGTCTTCTCGTCGCACATATATACTCGACTTCCCGCCCAATTCCTCTTCTTCTTCTTCTTTAGGCTCAGCTGTTACGCCGCCTTCGGGTGCGGCGAGATCCCAGCAAGAACTTCAACCAGCAAGCTCACAAGTTGAGATTATAACAGAACAGTCCAGTAGCCCTGGGGTCTGTTATTGGAGCGGCGCTTGCAAGCACTGCATCTTCTCTTGTCCTTGACTCTCGTTCGTTGAACATACCTACCTCGGTGGGTATCGTTCGCTCAGAGTACATACCCATTCTATGGGATGATACTCGCATCTGCATGGGATTCCCATCACGCTCGCAGCTCCGGCTGCCCGTGAGTAACACGCGAGGTCGGCCATTCGAGGCTCTAGTTGCCTCATGGTCGTAATCGTGCGAGTGTCAGGTCGCAACCTTTGGTGTGAATCTGGTGAACCGGGTGTCTCGCGCCCAACACTTTCTTTTCATTGATCTCCAGGCCTTGTTGCATGGAATTGAGGAAGAGTTTTCGTTCAAAGAGTGAGGTATTAGCACAAGTTTGGGGTCCACATGGCTGCAACACCGCAGGATTCAAGATACTATGTAGCGGTGGGGAGGTACTCAGTACTATTGACACGACTATCTATCTATCCTACACATCCACGTATACACCACGCAGTATCCTACCACCCTCCTCGAGCGTCTCCCGTATCTACGCATTCATCTTCTCCACCACATCCGCCTCCACCTCGACAGCAGCCTTGACAGTAGACCTGCTATCACGAATGTTAGTTGAAGACGACAATATGATATGTGTTGACATACGTTGTGTCATCGCGGTGACGTCGTCGCCTGGGTCTCTTGTGAGCCCGCTTCTCCTCCTGTACTGCCGCAGCCATCTCTTGTGGCTTCGGCCTGCCAAGGACCAAGTCCCCATGGACCTTGGCCTGAGAACTCTTTTCTGTCTTGGATGCGCTCTCGTCCGCATCTGGACCCTCCTCAAACGGCGACGGCAAGTCCTCGCGCTTGCGCTTCTTGTCTTTCTCAGCAGACTTGAGACGAGCGTTCTCTCGCTCGCTCTCCGCCAGACGCCGGACGAGATCGCTGTTGTGAGCTTTCAGCTCGTCGTTCTCCACCCCCACGAGCTCGAGCTGCGTCCTCAGCCTCTTGTTCTGACCATCCAGTCTGGTCACTTTGCTGTCGGCGCCATGGTAGGCTTCGATGAGCTTCTCTTGCTCATGTCGAGAATTCTCGGCCTGATCAAGAAGCTCTTCGTACTGGTCATCCAGCTTGAAGATCTCGGAGTTCTGTCTGTCCACGGCGCGCTTGCTCGCGTAGACGAGCCTGTCGCTCTCGTCTTGGAGGAGGGGATCGCGCGAAGGCAGGCGCGGACGAGGTGCCATGTTGTCTTGGGGAGCAGGAATTGGCGGTGACAGCTTCGGAGGTGGCTTGTTGATGTACTGACTGATCGGACGGCGGCGGTGGTACGGATGCGATTGGAAGGACGCAGGTAACGGGCGAGCGAAAAACTTTATGATGTCGAGTTTGTTCGTGCTGGCAATATTGACTTGAGAAGGTGTGGGATATCGTCGCGAAAAGAAAAAGGGTCCAGCAAAGTTTCGCGTCCTTGTGCGTTTGCGGGCGCTCACTGAGCGGCCGCACACCGCTTCTGAAGACCATCTGATGTTGCAATGGCGCCAAAACTGCTTCGATTTCTTAGTACAAGACATTGAAAGACGTACAGTATCGAAAGTATAGCCCTAGCATAGCGCAGACAGCTGATATGTTGATTGAAAAGATATCACGTGAAACCACTTTCACCTTATCCTATCGACCTTCTTGCCAATTCAGCAACTACCACTCAGCATCAAACCACCTCCGACGATGACGTTATCTTCAAGTACCTTCTCTTGGCTACTCGAACAACCAACGGACGACGCAGTGACTTCCTCAACATGAGAGACAGGAAACAGGCAAGGAGGAGTTGGTTTGGAAAGAATCATCAAAGTGGAAAGGGTCCAAATGAAGGTCAGATAAGGCTAACGATATGAGTTACTTATCTATCACTGCTATCCGCGAAGTATAGAGGGCTGGCCCCCTAGAACTCACCCGATGGCGTGCCGTCAAGCTTGAAATAGCCGGGTTGGAGCGTCTCAAACACACCAGTTGGATCGTACTTCTTTGAGATGGTCTTCAGCTTAGCTTGATTTGCTGCGCCATACCCAGCGACGACGTTCTGGTATGGACTGGCGTAGTTCATGTAGAGGTAGTCGTTCATCTTCCCTGCAGCCTTTGCGGCAGCCGAAGAGCGATCCTGGACTGTTCTGGCGAATGTGTTGAGCCTCTCGTCATCCGCAGGGTCGGACCATTTCAGAGATACTAGAGCCAGCATCAATGGTCCTTCCTTGGGGTCGAGACCCAGCGGGTTGCCTCCTCTCTTAGCACTCTGCTCGATGATAGGTTCCGTGATCACCTGGAGTGAAAGAGCTGGGATAATGGCTGCCGCGTCCATGATGCTCGGGAGTTCCTCAAAGAAGATGTCCCTGGCGGTGTTTGCCATCTCCAGATCGAGCGTGGTAGTCCAGGTCCAAAAGCCCTGTCGAAGGCCGTTTCCAGTAGCGGGGCCAGCTAGAATCGAAGTAAGAGTGGAGAGACTCTTGACTCCCGTTCCATCTGCAATTGCTCCTTTGATACTGTTGTACTCGGCGAGAATTGGAGCATCGGCAATGGGGTCTGAGTATTCCAGCTCAAGCTGAGCGACAGGACCAAGGTTAGGTCTGCCCCAGCCAAACGATAAGATCTGGTGAGCCTTTCCGTCCTTGTTTGCATTCATACCGAGGTTGTAGTATGCCTTCGTAAGAGCAGTGAAATTGGTCGGGAGATGCGTTCGCATCCCGCCCCACATTGTCGGTGCTCGGGGAATAGCGTTCACTGTGAACTTCGTGACGAGACCGAAGTTGTTGCCGCCACCTCGTAGAGCCCAGTAAAGATCTGGGAACGATTTCTCGCTCACATTGATGATCAGTCCAGATGCAGTGACCAGCTCGTACGCAAGAACGTTGTCGCATGCTAAACCATACTCGCTGGAGAAGTAAGAGATGCCTGAGTTTGAGTGTCAGTGCAAGTTGATTGGTAGTCGGAGGCATTTCGGCGCTTACCTCCACCAAGAGTCAGTCCACCCACACCAACACTAGAGACCTGATTGCAATTAGTGACATGCCTTATCGATAGGTGTCGATTCTGCTCACTCTGCCACCGATGATTGTAACGTTGTCCTTCTCTAGGGCTGTGTATACATCGTACCATGTCTGGCCAGGCTCAAATGAGACACTCTTCTTGTCAGAAGATACCGTTGTCTTGCTCATGTTTTCGAAGCTTATAGTGATACCACCCTCGATGTTCGAGCCACCCGCTACAGCTGAGTGACCTCCGCTCTTGGCTGCGAAGGGACATTGCGTAAGACGGGCAAGGAGGATAGAGGTTGAGATGTCCAGAGCTTTCTTGGGCTTGAAGACGCACTGTGGTGAAAGCTGTCTTTGTTGAGCAGACCAGTAGGCCCCAACGAACGCACTGTAGGCAGATTCCGAGCGTGTTTCAACTTGGTCGTCACCAAAGATCAACTTTAAAGAGTTGCACTGGCGATTCGTCAGCTTTGAACTAAGATCGTATAGACGAGTACTTACGGCTATGGAGCAACCACTCAGCAGTGATCTCTCTGCCAATGGCGCAAGCTCGGGGATAGCCGAGACATTGACACCGTTATCGAGAAGTGCCTCAGTCACGTTGAAGTCTGCAGGCTCGAAAGTAGCCTGTGACACAGCGCCTGCCACCAAGGCGGCAAATGAGACTGCGTATCTCATCCTTCCGAATTGAAGCACAGGGTATGGGGATCGGAGCGTTGGACAAAAAGAACTGCGCGCGTGGAACAAAAAGGACCAACGTGCAGGAAGTTACGGAGATTGCCGTGCGTTTGCAGGGGAGAGTCCACAACGAGGTTGGCAGTGACCCAGTGATAGGGAACCCCATCCTTTTATTTCTGACGGCTCGCATACAATATCTCGGCGGTACGCGGACTTGAGGGCTCCGCGGATGCTGTGACCAAATCTCCTACAGCCATGCTGACAGTACTACTCTTCTGGTTACGTTTAATCTCAGAAAGGCTAAGCTGGCATGCGACGTAAATCATGTAGGATTCACCCAATACTCTCACCTGCCTGTCCGGTTCTAATCGTGCGTCTGGATCTCTCCCGGAGATTAGAGTAAATAACATCTTGCAGGGAAGGTCTGAAAGATCGTTCGCTTACACACTCACAAGTAGGCAACGTAGAACTCTATCGCTATCCTTCTCGACATCGACATACTGGAAAATCTGAGAGGGTGGAGATTCTGTTCATTGCAACTCTACTCAAGAATGAGTGGCGTTCAGAATTGCCAAAGAAGCGCATTGCCGAGGTCGTAGAACACCACTCTGCTGTACTTGCATGGATGTGAATCCTCGTCCGGCGACCCTGCACGACCGCGCCGCCCAACGGCAGCATCCTACGCAAATTGCGCTCTTTTGCAGGGAGATGTAACTGCTCCTACTCAGATTAACCATGTCAAGTATTCTCAATTGCGATTTGAAACATGTATATACCTGCAAGTGCTATCATACCACGCGTGGCGGTAACTGGAGATGAAAAGTGACTGGTGTCGTGGAGGTTCAAGGCTGGGTTTGTGAGGCTAAGATGCTTACGCTAACGCCGCTCGTTGCCCCTCAAGCCGCCTCGCCTCGGCAGGCACGGCAAGGCGCTGCCACGGGACTAGCCTGGACGGCTCGGCTTCCGTGTCCACATCCGCCAAAATTCCGTGCCTTCCAAGCTACGCCACTTCGGCATGTGCGAATGCAAGGGGCAACACAGACCGCGAGTCTGGCCATGTACACCACCTCGTTCTTTGCATCATACTTTTCCACAAGGCTTTGGCATAGAAAAATTCGCCCATCTCGGCACAGTCCAGCGCGTGGTCTGCATGAACACTACGTCTCTACGTACGGACAAGACAATCGAACTTCCCGTGCAATCTACATGGCCTGGCCATCGCCAACGTAGGATCATGAACCCAGACGAGCCATTTAACCGATCCCAAGTCATGGTTCGATTGACCAAAGGGATGCCTCTAAACTACACACCACACCGAGCCGTGTCCAGCAGCTCGGGACATTTCATGCACCATGGATGAGTTGCTGTGCCACTTCGCATCGAAACCTGCTCCAACAGTCCTACACGAAGTTGGCAATCGCTTAGGCGCAGGAATATGAATATTTCGGACTGTTAAAAATATGGAGTGTAGTCTGAAGGAACATGCGCAATTTGTGCTGGGACCTGTGGTCTTATTCATCTCACTTCCCTCGACTGCATGGACCGCCGTCATCTCTATTCTCATTCAATTTTTATCTCTCTTATTCGTCTTTGAGCAAGAGAGGTAGCCATGTCTTCCACAGTCGTTGCGTACAAGGAGATTATCTCCGAGGCTCAGTTCTTCCACATCACCTACGCCATGATTGCGCTCCCTTCAGCTCTCGTTCTTGCGCGTATCGGCATACAGGTGTGGAAGCGAAAAGCCATGGAATTGCAAGACTATCTGCTATACTTGGCTTACGCTTTCTTTCTTACCATATCGATCTGCTACCTCTTTATGGTTCCGACGGTCTTCGCCGTTGGCAAAGTCAAAATGAAGGCGATGAAGCCCTGGCCAACGTTCGAAGCTGACCTCATCTTCTACTTCCGGCTACTGTATGTAACAACGAACGGGTTCTGGCTTACACTTTGGTCGGTCAAGTTTTCCCTACTAGCACTTTACAAGAAGTTGCTAGAAGGCCTCCCTAGGGTGTACAAGAGACTCTGGTGGGCCGTCCTCGTATTTTGCATCGTTGTAAGTGCATTTCGTCGTAAGCGTTATGCTCCTGCTAAAATTCGACATTTAGTCATTGATCGGCTGTATCATCTCTTATTTTACCTCTTGCCCCAACTTCAGCGACATGATGAACAAAGGCCAGTGTACGGGCCCTCGAGCTCTCCGTGGTCAATTTGCAAGTCTTTATATGACCTATGCTGTTGATATCTTGTCAGACTTCATGAGTAAGTGGTAGATCTTCTCCAGAAAGGATCAGTGTTAACAACTTTAGTCATGTTCCTACCGATACGACTAGTCTGGAATCTACAGATGGCACGCCCACAGAAGATCGCCATCATCTCACTGTTCGCATCAGGCTTCGTCATTATAACCTTTGCTACCCTGCGCGTTGTGCAAATCAGTACAAAGGCTGGCCACGGAGTGTCACCGAGTCCAACTTGGCTCTCCCTTTGGACCGTAATCGAGTCGTCTATAGCTGTTTGCATCGGCTGCGCCCCCGCTTTCGCTATCTTCTACCGCAGTGCCCACACGCCTCACGTCTCCTACGATACCCATGGCTACATTCGACAAAATCCGAGCCGATCCGGAGCAGACCCAAACCATCCAGACGCCATCAAGATGAGTGCTGTTACTGTTACAACTAGCAGAAAGAGGGGTGGTAAGCGCGACATATACTGGGATGACACACGAAGTAGCCAAGAAGCACTCGCGGCGGACAACAAGCACATCATGGTCACTACTACATTGGAGCAGGACAACCGTCGCTCCAACCTGGAACAATGACATTGAGGAAGACGAAAGGACTTCGGTGTATCTACCGGAAAAACCGAAAACGAGCTTTAGGTGTTCGCGAGTATCAGTGTCCACCAAGGTTATGTCTTAGGCTATCTAGCAGATCATGCGTTTCTATGGCGATGTTTCAGAGAATAAACATGGCTGCCTGACTTCTTTTGGCCACACGATGAAAAGAATCCTGCATTTCCCACCCTTTCACTACCCAAACTATGTTGACGCACGACCTTTACTCAAGCTCAATCACATTCATAACTTCAAGAGCCTCCAACACCGCCTCCTCAAGCCTTAACCCAACTTCCAAGCGAGCATAAACCCCCAACGGTAGCCGCAACCATGTCCAATCTTCATGACAACACACCCGCTCTTACATCTCTCGACCCAGTCACACCCTCGCCACCCTTACTTCCAGAAGCCAGACCCACCTCCACCCTCCTCACCACCCTCCGCGCCCACCAAACCATGCTCACAGACCTCTACATCGCACAAAACAATGCCTACATCGCAGCCTACACGGCATTCGAGACACAATACGCAGCAGCAACTGGGACTACTTTCATAGAGATGCAGGAGGCCATTGCGAAGCTGTTAGAGCAGCAGAAGGAGGTTATGTCATTCCAAACCTTGCTCTGGAGTTTTCAGATGTTTGTTGCTGGTCTGGAGAGCGGCGAGAAGCATGATCTGGACGAGGGGCAAGCGCGTGGACAGGAGGGTTTCGGTAGTGGAGGAGCGAGGGGCTTCGATGGTATGTGGCGCTGATGCGTTTGTTGTATCAGTTTCAGGGAATCGCCACAGTGTTCTCGCGACACAAAAGGAACACTAGACGAGGAGTGGGGTGTTGCGGACAAGAGTCAGCCCATGGGAAAGGAAGAAGCATCGAGGAAGGTTGAATGCGCTTCAGCGTTTTCACTGGAACATCCGCAAGACGTAGAAAATTCAACAAGTGATTGCAACAATATTCATTGAGAATGCAGATATCGCTACGTATCTTAAACATGCTTAGTGAGCCCCCATATTTGTACAGACGGATATCCATGCCATCGAAACGCCAAAACACCGCACACTTATTACATGCTATTCGTATGATGCCAACCGATTACCACAGCGCCGCATCCTTGTCGAAACGCACAAGCTCTTTGCCTGCGTCTTCAACATCCTTCCTCGCCTTCATGCGCATGTAGAAGATGGGGCAATCCTTGGATGCGCAGATGACTTCGCAGTGAACACTGCCCTGGCATCGCTGGCATTGGGTCCAAAGACGTGAGAAGCGAACCTCGAGCTCACTGACTTTGCCTAGCGTCTTTGTGTAGAGCTCGGCGATACGAGGCCGGCAGTTCTCACAAACGGCACCGTCCTTCTCATGCGCAGCGGTAAGTGGCTTCTTGCATCCCATGCATGTTGATGTTTTCTTGGCGAATTTCATCAAACCACCCATGGTGGGTGCTGCGACGGTAATGGAACGTGTGTGATCACCCGTGAGTAATGAGGCAGCCTTCTTCTCACCTAGGATAGGCTCGAAGATTCTGCCCAGTGGCTTCGCCAGTTGGTTGTCCAAGTAGTAACGCGTGTCGATGGGCAAGTTGTTTTCGAGGACAAAGAGGGGATCCTCAGACTTCTCGAAGTTTTTCGCACCGGTGGCGGCTCTGATCATAACGTAGGCGACACGATCACCCAGTGCGGGCGCTGAACCGGCGTCGCGCTTCTTCATGCGTTCGGCAAGCTCAACGTGTGCTTGTTTGTTGGCGTAACCACCTGTTCCGTCCTTGTTCTCTTGCTTGGTAAGGGCTTTGGTGATGACAAGGTTAGACATGTCCACTTTGTTCTGCAACAGATCCGCAATGGTCTCCTTGACGAATCTATCCAATGTTAGTAGACGAAAGTGCGAAGATGGCGGAATGACTTACTCTTGGGCACCTTCTGGGTCCTGGTCGATCAGGAGCATGCGCAACGAAGTTTCGATGACAGTCTGGACGAGGCGGCAATTATCACGGCGGACCGTCTCAATACCCTTCGTGTCCATCTTGTCCCACTTGTGCGGATTCGTCCAGTAGAGACCAGCGTAACGCTTCTTGTTGATGAGCAGGTAGGGGAAGTAGACCTTTTCGAACTCCAGCTTGATTGGCTTGACGAACTTCGAAGAGACGTAGTCCGCAGCTTCCTCACCCAGCTTCATCGCCTCCGCTAGTTCGGACGTACCAAACTTCACCATGACGGAATCTGTGTCACCATAGATGACCTCTGCGTCGTGTGTGTATCCGTTCGCGATGTTGTACTTTGCCTCGACTTCTGCCTTGGTCCTTTCAATCATTTGTCGACCGAAACTTGTTGTACTACTGGCGATGGCAAGACACGGTAGCTTTCCGTTGGTGGCACCTGTCAGACCGTAAACCGAGTTGGCGCTGACCTTCAAGGCTAATTGACGACCGTTGAGCACAGCCTTCTTGAAAGGATCGGTCTCGATCGCCAACTCCTTCTTCGCCCTCTTACGCGCACCCAGCAATTCCTCCAGGATCTCGGTCAAGAGTCCCTTCCGAGTTTTCGCTGTGCAGAACATGTCACCGTTTGGAGTGACAATGTAGTCTTCGTCTTTCTTCATCTTGAGTTTCTCTACCGTCTGCTTGTCGAGCCAGGTCGTATAGCACAGGTTGTGGGCCTGCATGATACTGGGGTATAGCGATGCGAAATCGAGGGTCGCGACAGGTTCCTTGTAGTAGCCGCGCTTGGGTTCAATAACGGTCGCACCTTCGTACTGGTCACTGCTGTCGCCTTGGTTCGGAAGGTCCGGAACGATGAGTTGATGGTCGAGGGCTTTACGGAAGAGCTGGCTAATGAAGCGAACTTGTTGTCCACGGGCCAGAAGGTAATTGAAAGGCACACCTGTAACCCTAGCCATTTCCGTGTAGTTGACCAGACACATGAGCTTGTCGAGCAATCGCTGCGGTAGATAGGCATCCTTCAAACAGTATACAGCCAATCGTCGCCGGGAGTTGGAGTCGCCGTTGAACAGCTCTGTGATCATACTGTGGTGTACATCCTCCTTCTGTTCTTTCAAGAAGTGAGCGCACACCGAGTTGAGCGTGTAACTGCGCAGTTGGTGGTCTCGCTGAATGAGCTGTAATAGGTCAAGCTGGAGACGACCGTTGGTGTTGGTAGTCTTTGTGTCTCGGTTTCCTAGTTGTTTACTCGAGAAATTCGAGCTCTCTACCTTAGACTGTACTGTCTTCAGACGAGACCAATACGGGAACTTCTGCAACTTGAGATGTTTTGCGCGATCGAGCAAATACGGAAAGTCGAAGTTGTTGATGTTGTAGCCGATGATGACGTCTGGGTCGACCTCTTCTACGAAGTCTCGCCACTTCATCAGCATCTCGCCCTCATCTTGGAATGACAAGACCTGTGTCGCAACGATGGGGCTGACTGTATCTAGACAGAAGACGTTTCTGACAAACGGTTTCGGCTCTCCATATCTTGTAACGACGTTTGCGATCTGGATGACGGGGTCGACGTTCGCCTCTGGGAAGACACCTTTGCGGCCAGCGCACTCGATATCGAAGGAGAGGATGCGAAGGGGGGCGAGTTTGGCCCATTCGCCTTCGGATTGGTGGGCGATCAAATCGCTGTAGTGTAGCTGTGCCTCAATCTGGCAGTTGGAGTGTCGGTCGCGAGGGCTGATCATTCTGTATTTGCCTGCTGGAACTTCGACCCAGCACATACCGGCGACCTTGGTGTCGATCATAAAGCGCAGTACGTAGGCGATGTTGTCGAATGTGAGGATGCCGTCCTCTCTGGCCGGCCAGAGTCGCTTGTAATTGGCATTGCCCTTTTGCACCATCATCCGCACGCGATTGATCATTTTCGGATCTGTCACTGTAATCTTGAGGTATGGGCTCTTCTGATTTCCCTGGAAGCGCAGGATGTTCTCTCTCATACACATTTGTACCGACGCGATGACAGCTGAGTGCTGGTTGAAGTTCTTCTGGCATTCGCTCTCGAGGAAGACCTTGAACGGTTCGCAGTCTTCTTTGTGGAAGTTGAGGGGTGCGGCGACGTAGAAGTAATGCTGGAAGCCAGTGACGTGGATGAGGACGGAGTGGCCAGTCTATGATATACGGTCAGTCAAAGTCGATATATGCCATGTGCACACTTCTCACCTCTGTAACACCAAAGAGCTTGACGGTTGTTTTTCCGCCATTTAACACGCCCTCTTCAGCCTCGATCTGTTGGAAGACAAGGTTTTGTGTCATCTCATTGAAGTCCTCGGGCAAGGCAGGCCGCCGCCATTGCTGATCCTTCTCTGTGTTGTCCTTCTTCAGCGTCTCCATGTCCTGCGTCATCTTCTCCAGCGTCTCCTCGAACTGGCTCGGGCCCACCTGGCTCGAGTTGAAGGAGCCATTGACCGTCTTGGTGGGCGGTCTACTCTTGTCATTGCCATTCTGGAGCTTCAGCTTCTTGGATGAGTGGGGCGACGGCTGCACATTGGTGCGTGTGCTGGATGTTTCGGCGAGGGCGCGCTTCGCCGGCGCTCTTGTGACGGCTCCTGGCATCTTGAGGATGTGACGGACAGATACAACACCCAAGCGCGTGATAAGGGAGGGTTGGTGGGTGTGTGTTTGTTGTTGGTGGTGTAGATGGAAGGCGCCCAGGGAGAACGCGAAAGCGTGTCGCAGGCGCGAGCGCGTCATCCCTGCTAATTGATTTGCGCCACGCTAGCCGTCGCCTGCCATCCACGCTCCCATCCCAACCCTCTCTGCATCCTTTGCATCACCACGCACACGCGTCAACGTTCAGGAATCCTCAGAGAGCTCGCCTCAACAGTTGCATTCAAATCTCCTCGCGAGCTTGTCTCTAGATGTTACCTGCAGCCTTGTCACCATGTCGTTCACGCACCCAGCCTCATAAAGCCTTATAGTGGACTTGCGTTATAACGCTGTTTCCTTGAAACTCTGACACTCGTCTTCTTCATCAGGATGCGATACCACATTGGGATGCTATGCCAAGAACTAGGCATCAGCAGAGTTGTCCGCGAGACTTGTAGGCGATGGCGTTTTATGGGTCTTTAGTCATTCGATTCTACTAACCTCATACATAAATTCCCCGTCTCCCCCGACATACTCCCCGTAAAGTACATCAGCACTCATACTACTTCCGCTTACTTTCAATATGGCCGCGATTAACGACGTCATTGTTTCTCCTTGCGAGACGGAACGAGACTTTAGGCAAGCGCAGCATTGTCTTTCCGAAGCCTTCGGTCACCAAGCAAAAGATGCCCTATGGCGACTGATGACACCCGGCTGGGACACGGAAGAAGGGCAGGCGAAGCAAGCTCAGATCCTGATGAAGAGATGGCAGTCCATCACCACCAACAAGGACGGACAACCCAATGCCCTCTATCTCAAGGCCACCGTGCCTGATCCAGATAATCAGGGCGAAAGACGAGTTGCTGGAATTGCCATCTGGAAGCAGCTGTCGTTCGTGGAAGGTTATGGCGACCCGTTCTACGGCGACATGGAGGAAGCTCTCACTGATTACGACGACCAGAAACGGCGGTTTGCAACGCAAATGTTTAACTCACTATGGAAACGACGTATCGCATACATGCGAGAGGTCGAGAAGTCAGGCCGCAATCCGCCCGCTATCTTCACATTGGACTGCTGTGCTGTTGATCCAGCATACCAGCGTCGCGGCATTGCTGCCAAGCTGGTGGAGGTCGGTCTTGAGGAGGCAAAGAAGAGGGGCAACTTGGAGTGCACAACAGAGGG